GTACAGCTTCTGTGTCCATGGACTCAACCAACTACAGACCAAATGCTTTTAAACTTTTCACCTGGAATGAACACACAGTTGATTTCCTGCTGTGATTCCCTAACCCATCTCCTGTAACCACCCCTTATGTGGCATTTACATTATAGTAACAGGTATTTGTACATGCTTAGATATGATTTAAGGTAAATGGGATCTATTTAGAGGATGAAAATTCAATAGCACTTTAAGTCAGAAAATTTAGCATCTGTAGATTTGGGGCATCTGTTGGGTTCCTGGAACCAGTCCTCCTTGGATAATACCTGTATAGAGTTAATGCCATAAAATTAACACAATATTTCTGCCAAGTTGTGTGAAGGCAAAGAAATTGATAAACTTTCTTCTCAAACCTAAACAGAAGAATGCTGTCTCCTTAATTTACCAGGCAAGCAAATGCTTTTTATACATTTCCAAAGCCTATCAGGAAAAACAAGCCAGAACCAGAAAATTCCACAGCCATAGTCTCAAAGGGAGTCTACCCTACAGAGCCTGTAGAAGAAAGATTTTATAAAATCCCCAAGTCAGAGGACTAGAAGAGAGCCTCCAGAGCAGGTATCTGGACAGACTTACAGAAAAAAGAATCAGGACTTACAAAGGAAAAGGACACTCTGAACTGACCAGCCAGTGGGAGACTGAGCCTAGATTTTCTAATAGATTCCTGTGTTTCTTGTTGGATGACTATGGAAATGTGGTATTCTCTAGGTAACTCTCCTTAAAATTTCTGCTTGAGATTTCTCATTGAAAAATTGCACATTTTTTGAGATTTTTTTCCAATTATATGCCATTTAATAACGACTTGTTTCAAAACACCTATGACCCTCTGCCAGCTATTCTGAGACTGTGTCCACAGCACTTTCCCTTGGAAACTCAAACCAGTGACCACAACTACATCATCAGCTCTTTCTATGTATAAAACAGTACAGTCAGGACTGGAGAAATGCTCATAGGTAAAGATCACATACTGCTCTCACAGAGAACCTAGGTTTGTCTCCCAGCATCCACATCAGGTATTGCACAACTGCTTGTAACTCCAAGGTTCTTATGCCCTCTTCTGAATTGCACTTGCACACATGGTACACATACACACAAGCACACACACACACACACACATACATGTAAATAAAAAATAAAAAAGAACACCATACACGTGCACACACACGCAAAACCAGTCAAGTCATTCCTGTCCCACAGATTTATTTTTTTCTTCTTCTGTCTGTGCTTTTAGGTTGCATGTGTCTGGGAAAGTTTTTCCTAGTGTATGTTGTTTTCAGGTATGAAACACACTCTCGAAATATTTTTATGTAAAACACTCTTTCTCTATCAAAAAAGACAGATTACATTCTGATTCTCAAGATCTCAAATGGTCTCAAATGCTTTATCCTGAACAGGAAAGTCAACAGAGATTGATGGTGGGAAGTTGAAATGAGATGAAATGGAAGTCTAAAATTCTAAGAGGGAAAGAAAATATTTGGTTAGGTTTGATTAGGAAAGTTATATTGTATGATTAACTTCTGAGAAAACTTCAGAAACACTGCATATGATTTGCTATATTGAGCTGCTCTTATCCCCACTATTTCTTTCTACAAAATGTTTTCTAATTCTCTATGTAAGAACAATCCAGAGCCTCTCTGGCATGAAAACTGTAAATGGTTTTTGTACTCTGAGGTTAACACATACAATATAACCAGAATATGCAAGGGACAAGAACTGTGTTTGTCTTTTGGATCGAAACCAGCTTTAAGGGTGAGGGAAGAATGATTCAGGTACTCACTCTCCTCTGGAAGACATGTGCTCTAGATTTTAGGATGCCTACTCTATCTTCTTTGCCCTTCATTTAAATTTGTAGCATATATTTCTGCGTGTGTGCACGTGTGTGTGCGTGTGCGTGCATGTGTGTGTGTGTGTGTGTGTGCCATAGTGGGTGGGCACAGAGGGCAACCTTCAGGAACCAGTTCTCTCCTTCAACCCTATGGTTCCCTAGATTGAACTCTAGTCTTGGGTTTTACCTGCTGAAACATCTCACCGTTTTTTAAAAGGCCACAAGTAGAGCAAACCCTGCTGTGGAATCTGTTATCTCTGTGGAGATACCCCAACCAAGTATTAGTCTTCTTTCTGTTCAAAAGCTACAGACTGAGATGGCTATTAATAAACCCTCTTTTTGAAATAGCTGGAAAGGAATTAGAGCCTTTTAATCCAAACACAGATAACCGAAATTCTAGAAGTGATTTATGATGATAGCAAAAGGATGCAAATTTGATTCTTTGAAATGGCAGTTCTAGCTTGAGTGATGCTTTTTATTTTTTATTCTTTATTTATTTTATCTTTTTTGAGACAGGGTCTCCCTATAGCACCAGCTGGCCTGAAAGAATGATGTTTTTTTAAATATACATGACCAAGGAAGTTGCTATCAGTTGTCAGCTACAAAGAGTCACTTTCTAATTGTAAAACTGTATTATAGAAACAAATTTAGCATGCATTAAAAATCCCCCAAATTTCTACCTGAATAGCAAGGATACACCAGCACCTTCATTAGGTGCACAGTAATTCCAAGGTCTTCAAAAATTTGGGGGAAGTCCTTGTGCTGTCAACAGTGTGTGATGGAAAGAATGCACAGCAAGGGTTGATGGCACTAAAGCTAGAATGCCAAGAACAGGGACCACAAAGCCTCCAAGAGCTCACTGAGGAATTGGCATCACATTAGCTGAGAGTGTCAAAGGAAATTGAAGCATGTGGGAAATGGAGTGACCATACAAAATGCACTGATAGTCAGAGATATACAAAGTGCATTGATAGTCAGAAATGTACCATACGAAAGTACACTGATAGAGATACACCATACAAAGTACACTGACAGTCAGAGATGTACCATACAAAAGTGAATCAATAGAGATATACCATAAAAATATACTCTTAGTCAGAGATTCAGAGCTGCCCTAAATGAACAAAGACATCCAAGTGTTCTCTTGGTCACTGACCCCTACCATCACCAGCCTCCCACCTCCCCCTATCCCTCTCTCCAATTAGATTTGAAAGAACTGCCACATTTGTACCTGTCTGCAATGATCCATGAGCTTTTAAGCAACTAGCTCTGTTTACCACATACTTCATTGCTTGGTATTTAAGGACAGCTATACAAGATATTTTAAGATCTGGCAAGCAAATGGTTTACATGGTTTACAAGAAACATGTGCATGGTGACTTTTCTCAGCTTATCTAACACATTCATCTCCGGACCATGGGAACATTGATCTGTCCAGCTGCACAGTGATGAGCATCTATGGGAGAAGTTTCCAAACCCCCTTAAAGTCTAATAACAGATAATTAATAATTGCTTAGGAAAAAAAACCTGTGTCTTCTTCCCCCTCAAATCCCAGCCCACAACTCTACTGACATTAGTCCCAATAAAATTCTATTGTAGTCTGAAAAAAAAAAAGAAAAAACTTTTTGGGTTTGGGAAGGCAGCTGCTATTTGCCTGTGGGATTTGAGTATTATTTTTTAGCCTAGTTCATATCAGTTTATTCATTTCCAATGTAATCATTTAAAAGAGTCTCTAAAATTATTGTTGCTTCTCTGCTGGGCTGTTTCATTCACACACTGTAGACTGCACCATACTGTGTCAACACTGAAGAAATACAGTGTTTTCTACTTCCCAGTGATGACGGCAAACTGAGCACTCTGTCCCTCTCCTACCCTTCCTATAGTCCCAGTTACCTGTAGTTATTGACCATATTTTGTCATTGTTACTAGAATAACATGGATTTTAAACAAAAAAATTACCTTATTTTGATGTAGAGCCCAACTCAGTGCTCTAGACCACTGCCCTTTGGCCAAAGGAGTGGTGGTTTGTTTTATGGTAAATATAAGTGATCACTTAAATCCCATTTGGCCCTATTCCATTTCAGCTGACATGTCATAAAAAAGTAGAAACAACAATGAAAAGTTGAAGCCCTGAAGCTTTAGTGTTAAATCATCATGTTGACAGAGGATGGAGAAAATCTAAAAAATACTTTACACACATGAAAACGTAACTTTTTGATTCTCTTGTTCCTGCTTTCTAGAAAAGCTCAATTAAATTCATGTACATACAATTTATTCACAATTTCACTCCCATTTATGAAAGTACTGAAGAATCAAATGTAGCAAAATTCTTTTCTTAAAAGCATCAATTAACTCCGAAACACAGAACATTTTTAAATCTCATCTTTTTGCACATTATCCACCCACCACTCGTGTTGCTCTATAAAGCCCTCACAGAGAAAATTGAATTTCAGCTTTGTCATGTCAGCCTAGGTACACTGTTACCGTATCTTTCTCTTTATTATACAAGTATGTTGATGATGTAATTGCAGAAGTTGGGTTTACTCACGGAGCTGGATCTTGGGGATTTTTTTAGACTGCCTCCTTCCTTCAGTGCCATAGAACAGTTGTAAAAGAGAGCCAAGCACACAGTATCAGCAATTCACCTCTTTAAGTAAATCTGCAGGACTGACACCCTGAAGCGCTGGTCCAGCACTCTGTAGGCAGAATCATCACAAATCTGTCCGGACCTGAGGCTGAGCCGCACAAACACTTAGGTGACACCATCCTGGCTTTTAACCCTTTCCTAGGAACCCTCAACTTTTCATCTCTGCTTAACTTTAATTTTCACTCCCTCTCAAATCTCAAAGGACTAAGGAGGACCCAACCTTGTTGGCCCCTTGGGCAGAGATTCCCCTGAAAGTTAATTGCAAACTAGGCAGTGATGTTTCTGCATTTAAAATAAAGCAACGATTGAGAAGCTGGGTGATCCTCAATCAGTCATATAGATTAGGAGCCTAGGAGAGCAAGCTTTCTAAAATGCACCTTTCACACAGAGAGAATCCCGTGGTTGTGATTCAAAGTGCAAGGAGAGAGAAGACGACGAAAAGACGGATGCTACATCTCAAGCAAACGAGGGTCTGGGAACCAGGTAAAGAAAACATACCTTAGGGACTCGCCTTCTAAAAAAATGCACACGCTTGCTGGCTTGTTCCTCTTCTTTCGGGATGGACGCGTTTTCCTTTCAGGAATCCCCCTTGCAATGGAGTTGCTGCGTCCCTGCGCCCAACTCAAGTGCAGTCAGGCATGCCTTCGCTCCGGAGCCCTATCTGCTCTTTTCTTATCAATTTTATCACGCTCCCTGGGTAGCCTCCAAAGCAATTTTACAACTTAGCTGCTGGCAGGAATCTGCCTTTCACTCTTCTCCTTGCCAGATTCCTTGGACGGCTCATTTCTCAGCCTTTTCTCTGAGAAAGCAAAAAATGGGATCTCGCCCTGTTGTTGACAAGCGCCGGGGCTAACCCACAACCCTGGGTGCTAGCAGCGCGGCTGAGTGTGTGCTGGGAACTTCACCCAGCGGCTGCAGCCTGGGCGCCTCTGAATGCAGCAGAGATGTAAGCTCCCAGCCTCCTCCATCAGAGTCCAGGCTCCCTCTGCTGCGCCAGCTGCACAGAGCCGAAGGAGCCTCAGCCCGGATCGCCTGGTGATGCTGGGATGCCAGGTGTGGCCATCACCACCTCACCCACACCTCCCTGCTAGGGTCACAGCTTCCTGTCAGGGAAGCACCGGTACCTGGTCTTTCTCTGTATCCCTGGAGGATGACCTACGTGACCATCATAGTGCTGATTCTGCTACTTGCATTAGTAAAACAAATAATAATTGTAAAATTACCCATGCTATTTAATAATTGTTGTTTTAGATGCTGTTGGCTCTGCTTGGAATCATACAAAAGCCACAGATCACAATTTAATTCCCAATCTGACTGCAAGAGACAGTTAATAGGACTCTTATTTAAAAGGAGGCGACACCTCAACCCGGGTGGTTTGTCTTCGGTTTTTTTCAAGTGGTTATGGATTTAGGCTGATTCTTCTCAGTCATTAGAATCAGACACATATCAAAGGCCAGATGATAAAGCCATGATGTTTCAAAAGATTTTCTTTCTTACTTTGAAATAATGTTTTTCCAGATCTGGGTGGGAATTGAATGGGCTTGAATTCCTTTTTAGCTTGGTTGAGTAGAGGAGGTGGGGGAGTAACCACTCCCACTTTCCATCAATTAAGCATTTTTAATCCTCTAACCCTCCTTGCTGAAACAAATATAAAAAGTACTTCTTCTTAAAATAGAGTCAAAGAAGCTCAAGTCCAGGAATAATTTGTAGGTTTTAAGCTGCATCTGGCGTTCTGGCTTACTTACTTCATTTTCTTTGCTGTGTAGAAAATGAGAGGATGGAGCTGGGGAAATGGCTCAATCAGTACAGTATTTGCCATGCAAGCACGAAGACCCATGTGTGGCTCCCCAGCACATTCATAAAAAAAGGCATGGGGCTGCAACTTCAGTGCAGGGAGGGCCAGAGACAGGCAACACAGATCCCTGGGGCTCTCTGCCAGGCAATGTAGTCCAACAGGCAAGCTCCAGGTTCAGTGAGAGACCCTTTTTAAAAAATAAAGTGGAGAGCCAGAGAAGAAGACACTGGATGTCAGCCTCTGGCCTACATACACACACATACCCATGTGCATGTATACATATGTGCATACACACAAGAAAAGAGGAGGATATTTTCCTTGCTGACAAGTGTCAACTAGTAGCTGAGCTTAAGTACTGTAAGCAATGTGCACTATGGTTTCAGTCCATGGAAAGACAGTTATGGTTAGATCAGCTTTAGAGTGATTCCTCCATCAACATATGACGTGTAATAGCGGACAACAAAACCCATAGCCAAGCCAAACAGAACAATTTTCCTGAAGCAAAATATATTCTAGAGCAGAGGAATGGCACAGTTGGTAAGGAGTTTACCTTACAAGTCTAAGGACCTGAGTTCATATCCCAAGAGCCCACATAAAAAGCCAGAACTGCTGGTGTGCGCTTGTAATCCCATCAGTGGCAAGGTGGGAGGTGGAGACAGAAGGATCCTGGAACTCACTGGCCAGCTAGCCTAACCTACTTGGAGAAGTTTTGGGCCAATTAGAGAGCCTGTCTCAAATGAAGACACTTGAGCAATGACAACCAAGGCTGCCCTCTGACTTCTACATGCACATGCAAACAGGTGGATGCACACATCTGAACCCATACATGTACCCATATACACATGAACGTGACCCCCACACACAAACATAATGTACCTACTCTATAACAACCAATAAACAACTAACATCTATGTGATTTGAAAAGAAGAAATGTCCTCCACTGTGACACGGTATGCACACCAGGTCATGGCAGGGGATCCTCTCTGTTCCTAGCTCTCAGCATCACTCTTAGCTCAAGCAGCACAGCTTCCCCAACCTGCTGCTTAAGTGACTGTTAATAGACATGAGCAGCTGCTCCAGATATAATGAATCACATAAGGTGCAAACACTGGGACATTGTGCTCCCTGCCATCAGCACTCACCGGAGAGGCAGGCAGGACAAAGCTCTGCTGCCCTTGGCTGTAAGCATTTGAGAGTAACAAAGAAAAATCTGTGAATTCTAACAGTGCATGACAGGGCAAAACCTGACTTTTTAATGCTTAAGTATCCAAACTAGACAATGCATTGTTTTGAAGAATGCCATTCAATACCAAGAAAGAGGAGCATGTGTTCATACTTTTGTTTGGTGTGTGATAATCAGACCAAAGTGCTGAAGCTGTGCTGACCTGAGACCACTCAGCATTCAGTGTAGTGCAGTTATGGATGCATGTCCTCAGTAACTTGTGACGTCATGACATTAAGTGTTTAAACCTTCTTACAGAAGAAAATGGAAGACGATCCTAACCCAGTGTGATCCGTAGAATGTGTGCACAGTGCAGTGAAGAGTTCTGGAAACATGACCACAATTTAAATGCCTCCCTAAAGGAATCCACACCAGGGTGGTTAGCGCCAGTCTTTCATGTTGGGAAGAAATAAGGACTGAAGAGTGCTGCAAGGCGGGTATATGTGTCCCAACCCTATGATGGGGATGCTGATCCTAGATTAGACTGTCACTTCTGAAGAGTGGCTGAGCTTTATGACTTTACTGACCCACAGGGACACCAAACTCCCTTTCAGAAATTCATTGGCTCTTGACAGCCAACTTTCACCTGCCGAGTGCCTGCTTTGAATAATGTGTAACAAGGATATGAGCCCAGTAAGTCAAGAGCCCCATATATTCTTATTAATATGCATCCCAATCCTGCCTAGAGCCTTGAAAACCCTCAGAGAAGTAACATTAAGCACCACAGCATAGGAAATGGCAACTGCCAGCTGCATGCTTGCCACTCTAAAGGTGCATGCCCATAAACCTCAAAGCCAAACAGATAAGGCTGTTTCTTCTCCAGGTCTTTGAGAAGTAGCTTTAGAAAGAATAAAGCTCACCATACATGTCCCATCTTTTAAGACATAAACTGGGCCATGTTGTTTCATTTATGATTTTACAGGAGGAAAGGTAAGGTGTCTAGATTATTGGTCATTTCTTCCTAGCAGTAAAACTTCTGTAAATCAAAAGGATAAAGAAATTCTGGAAGACTCCTCTTACTTCCTGGGTACATGACTATTATTTATTTATTTATTTATTTATTATTTATCATGGCACTAGGGATTGAACCCCAGACCTGACATGTTAGTCAAGTGCTCTCCCACTGAGATATATTGATGAGGCAGAGTCTTCCTAAATTGTCTTGAACTTGTGATTCCCCTGCCTCACCCTCCCAAATAACTGAGATTATAGGGGCCCATCTCAGATTAACAGAGGAAATCTAGAGAAAATATTAATCCACCCTGTGCAGTCTGAGACTTCAGCTTCCATTTAGGGAAGAAGAAGCCAATCATTGAAGCTTATATTAAAACAACATCCCCACGTGTGCACACATACACACATACACATGCACCCAAACCTTCAGATTGGAGATTAACTTGTGGTGGCTATGCAAATGAATTGGCAAACTGATTTATTGCTAAAATGGGTGAGGACATAAAGTGGGACGTTAACATATCTAGCTCCAAACAGTGAAGAACTGTTTGAAAAGATGTCATTTTTTAAGGTTTTCTGCACATAGGTTGCATAAGTGGTGGTTCAAGCACACATTACATCCTTCTCTTCATGGCTTTCATGAGAGTCCCATCATTTAACGAGTGAACCTAGAGTGAGGCCAAGAGTAGAGTGATAGAGCTCCATTCCAGCAAGGCCCTGCAGCTCTCCTCACTTGTCACTAGGTTTCCTTACTCTGAGGGAAGTAAGCTGCCATGTCTTGGGGACACCCAAGCAGTCCAGGAGGAAACACTGGGCCAGACACCAAACTGCCAACAGCTGGCACAAATGAGGCTCTTCTACTCAAAGGAGCCATGCTGGAACTGGACCCTCCAAAACAAAGTCCAGGTGACTGCTGCCTTGGCTAACAAACTGAATGAAACTTCCCAAGACACCCTGAGGTGAGATTATGCTATTCCCAAATTTCAGACCAACAGAAAAGAAGGAAAAATTTGAAAACAGTAATTAACTTGTTTATTGTTAAACTTTGTGATTTCAATGGACCAATTTGTTTTAAATAGTAGAAGTTTAGGATAACAAATCTAGCCCACAGATGAGTATACACACGTCCCTAACCATCATGAGTGATGAGCTCACCCGTGCTTTCTTGGCAGTTCTGTCAGTAGTCTCTGTATAGTATTGGCTTATATTAAGTCTTTCAACTCATCTGCCCACCTGTCCTCACTAGACTGTGAACTGCTTGAGGGCAGAGATCACAGGGCATTCAGCTGTCACCAGGGTCCAGCTGAAGACCAGCCTCATTAATGGAATCTTAAATGACTAACAGTGTGCTTCGTAAAACACATAGCTAATGAGGCTCAGGACATGAGTTGAGTCTCTGTGTAGCCAATTAGTTCTATCTCTTGGTTCAAATGGCATCCTTTAACTCTCACCAGCTGCCTCACAAGTGTCTGTGTGAACAAGTCTTGTAGTTACTTAGATTGTGTCAGCATCCCAATAATAGCTGAAGTCATTCTTGCAAGTGTTATTGCATCTATTTTATTTGATACTTATCTTTCAAACTGAAAATCATTATTATTTTCCCTTATTAATAAAACAAATACAAAAAGGCTGCAGGATAGATCTATTCTACAGAACTAGGAAATATTGGAGACTGGATTAAAAATCAAGAATTCAGCCTCTTGCAAAACTTGTCCAACTATGAAGTTGATGTTTCTGTAGATGGCATAATTTTAGATTAATAATTAAAGGGAGTAAAATGATTCAAGAAGTCACTCTCCTAGAAATTTCTGGTTGGGGAATGATCATGAGACATTGGGTGATAAGCTTAAGATGGTCAGTGCTTCTTGACTGATAACACCAAGAATTTTCATTCTGTTTATGTGTTTATGTCCTCTTGTAAAATTAGTGTCATCACTGTATTCCAGGAAACCACCAGGCATTTGCAGAGTTTCTGTTTGTGAAAATGCACATTTGGGCAACACCATGCAAAAAGAAATCCAGGGCTAGAGAGATGACCCAGAGGTTGAGAAC